GACCAACTTGCGGAGGCATTAAACGTGACTCGCCAAGGTATTTCCAAACGTTTACATGCTATGGGAAAAATTTAAAAGAAGGAAAATGGGTGCCGCATAAATTGACTGAGAGACAGATTGAAAATTGAAAAACCATGTATGAAAAAAAGAATTTTCTCCATCGGATTATTAGAGGCGATGAGAAGTGTATATATTTCAAGAATCTCAAACGCAGAAACTAGTGGGTTTCCCCTGGCGAAGCATCAATATTGACGGCACGGCCAAACCGCTTTGGAAAGAAGACAATGCTTTTGCGTTTGGATGGATCAAAAAGATATCCTGTACTACGAGCTGCTGAAATCGGGTGAAACTGTCAATGAGCATCTCTACAGATAGCAATTAATCAATTTGAACCATGCCTTACTCGAAAAACGGCCAGAATGGAACACAAGACATGAACGAGTGATATTGCAACACGACAACGCACCGTGCCATCGCAGTAAAATTGTCCAGGACACCATCAAAACGCTGAAATGGGATCTGCTACCGCCCCTGCCTTATTCCTCGGACCTCGCCCCTAGCGATTATCACTTGTTCCATTCGATGGAGCATGGCTTGTCTGGGCTACACTTAACTAATTACGAGGAAGTGCAAAATTGGTTACATGAATGGTTTCAGTCCAAAGACGAGACCTTTTATCGTATCGGTATCCATGTGTTGCGAGAGAGATGACAAAAATATGTAGCTAGCGAAGGGAGATACTTTGAATAAACCATTTTTTGTATGTATCTTGAAATTTTTATATTTTTTATTGATCAAAAAAACCCGGAAACTTAGTTGCGCACCTATGTAGAAATTTGTTTTTAGTATAAAAAATTAATATACATATATATTTAACGGACATGCTCTTACAAAATAATTGGTTCAAACCACTTTCGAAGTTTTAATTAAAAACAGGATTAACTTCTGGTTCAAGTAACAAGACGAGTTATAAATTGCACTCTTTAAAAAAATCCACTTTTTAGAGGAAGTCTCTTACTTAGCTATATAAAGGAATACAGATACTTCATTTATTCTAACCAGATTTTTCGCGTCTGCACAATAATCGTATACTTTTATGTTGTATACATTTGTAATAAATACGTCGTGAAATACATTAATGGATGTAAATATAAATTGTTATCACATATTCCAGCCACAAACGAATATTGTTAACCAGTCGGATAGGGCACAAAGACGTTCTTACGTGATCTGGTTGAACAATAAAATTTTGTACGACAGTGTCTTCAGACGTCCCCAACATAGTAATAATATTTACTCACAGTTATTAGTCTCATTTAGAATAACAGTTATTTTAATTTTAGTATTAATTTAGTTGAGTTTTTATAGATCTTTAAATAAATTTGTTTGGTATGGAATATCATAAAAAGGAGGATATATTTTCATGACTCCAAAAAAAAAAGCTTATCTAAAATCTAAAGTGGTGATGTAAAGATAATTTGTATAAATTTATAATAAACAATTCACACAATAGATTATTATTGACCTTAGTTCATCAACTAAAAATACAACGAGGATAAGGATTAAAAGTCAATGTTATTTATATATAACTATTATACATGTATATGTATGTATATGTATATATATGACTGCTCATTCCTTTTTACTCATAATAACCTCTAATCTAATAATAACTCATCAATAACCTGTTTTTTTTTTTGTTTCAAATGTGTTTTGTATGAAAAAGGTAATCCTTATTGAAAATAACGTAAAAATAGAGAAGTATGAACAACGTTTAAATAAAGAGATACCTAATTAATAAGAATATCGAATTACTTGCAACATGTTCGTATTCTAGAGTACTTGTTCTATAGAGTTCAGTTATAAATAGAAAAATTATATAAAGCTACGAATTTTTACTATTCATTTATAAAGCCATTTGAAATATTCGCACAATTTCAGTTACTGGTGGAATTAATTGTAAATATTTTTGATTGAAAACTATGTAATGAAAGATAGCTATTATATTTACTGTTACAAATTTTATTTGGTATTTGCAATTTTTAATATCAAAAAGACAAAATTTACTTTTTGTCCAAATTAGGAAAAAATATTCATTTTTTACTGCTATTCATTGTAAATTACATACACTTTTTAATAACTTTTATTTCCTAATAATTAAATTTAATGTTACTGCAATTGGTGATACGTAGTGAACTTTGCAACAACTTATCTTTTCATTCTCTATTCTTCTTTTCATTGTCTTCACAAAGGTTATAAATAAATAATTACTTGGACGTCATAAAACGGAAAGTTTCCGTTTAAAGTTATATCCTTTAAGAGTTTTAAAATAATTTCTGTTCCCAATAAAAAATCTTCCTGGAGACAAACGGTGTAACTGTGTCAGCGGATGCAACTTCCTTTTCCTGCGGGAAATTACTCTTGTGTTATAAACTTTCTCTATTCTTTTACAAATCACGGAAAGTTTAATCTCACCAAACGCAATACTCAGTAATTGCTGCACCAAATGAAATCGAATTCCAAAAGTAAATTTCTAAAAATCAAATGTTTGCTTTTAAATAAAATGATTATGTATATATTTTGTATTTTATTAAAAACTATTATTTGCCCGTGACTTTGTCTGTTATAGTTTGAGAAATAGAATTTTATAGCTGACCGGGTGAACTCTGGTGCTCCTCAGTAGAGACAGTAAATAGAAGAATTTGGATTTTATCAACATTTTTTTTTCTTTATTGATCTTCATGAAAAGTATCCTACGTCCTTTTCCGGGTTCTAAACTATATCTCCTCCAATTTTCAGCAAAACCCGTACGGTCTGTACATGACTTTCTTTTATATATAAAGATTATGATATTAACGTTATGAAAAGCTTATTTTTTTGCAGTTACAAATTTTTCCCTAACTCCGTAGTGTTAGTCTGTTCTTCTAATTTAATATTAGGGTAACAGCGGCAGTAAAGTACGTTAATTAATGTTCAAAGTACGTTATAATGGACTTACTCTCGATTCGTTATGATTAAGTTAATAATTAGAAAATATTTTCTAGCGCAATTATTTCAATGGAGGTAATTACAGCTAGGGTGCTTAAAGAACCCTTGATTTTATATTTTCTTCATAAAGAATTACTACGTTAGGAAATAAATTGTTTGATATGTCAGTGGTGGCTCAGTGGTTAAAGGGGCCGCCTCTCGTCGCCGAGGGTGCGGGTTCGATCCTAGCCCGGGCAAGTACCACTGTGATTTTTCCGACTCATATGTACTTTCTAAGAGTATTTAGACATCACTGATTAATGCTGATTCCCAAAAGAGGGTTGATGTCAGGCAGGCGGGCCGGTCGTAAAAACAAATAGCCAAAATCTATTCACAACATGTGAGGCAGACCCTGGCTATAGCTGGGAAATTGCCAGGTAGAAAAAGAAGAAGAAGAAGAAGAAATAAATTGTTGATATTTTTATTAATTCATTGTAAGAACTTTAAAACAAAGCTTGATATTGCACATCATATGCAGTAAATCTTTTAATAAATAAATATGGAATACAAACTTCATATACATTTATAAATAATTCAATGTTTAACACAAATCATATATAAAATATGTAATGTTTTGTTGTGTGAAATTAATTTACACATTTTTAAATCGATTTATTCTTAAAGTATAAAAGGATATTTAACCAAAAATAAAATTTAAATTTCACTCGAATGCATTAAAAGTTTCACAGATATAAAAATGTTGCGGTTACAAATGCAAGATTCCGTTTAATCGGTTTGAAATGGAACGTTTCCAGCGAAATTATCCGATTAATACCCTGATTGCACTCTGTAATAGTAATTCTTTAAACTTGAATTCGGAAAATGGGCATCGATATTTTAAATTGCTTGCTGAAGTGTGAAATATATAACTTTATTTATGTACCCTTTTAGTTTATTATGGAGTCTATAGTAACATAAAATTCTGAGACTCATAAAAGATTAATGTTTACTGCTTGGTGTTTAATCTAAATGGTCTCTTAGAAATAGCATTTATTTGTTAATTATAAATTAAAACGCTCATAACTGCTACGGAAACTATTGGTTATCCCACATTAAATATCTTTAAAATACTAGTGTGGTTATATACTTCAAATACGCTTGTTAAACCGAGGTTAAAACGTAGTATTAAATATATTGTGATTGTATGAATACATTTTGTTTTTGAAATAACAACTTATCTAACGAGGTCCACACGTGTTATAGTCACAGTTTCCGTAATCCAAGTTATTTTGTTATACGAGCGTGTTAATTGTTAGCTGCATTTGATATTTGCTCGTTTCCTCTGTCTGCAACTTCTATGTACCGAGTTGATAACTTTATAATTAATTGAAATATTGGAAAACTAAAATCTCTAGTTCTGTTGTTATTACATAGATTCGATTTATTTTACTTAATCCAATTATATTTAACGTGGCAACGAGAAACATAATTACAATAGTATCTTCACGTTTCCTTTATCTTTTTCATATATTATATTTCATCTATACAAAAAGATAACATTTATTTAAAACTAGCTTTCCGCCCGCAGCTTCGCCGCGTGGAGTTCGGTTATATCGCGTTTCCAAGAGAACCTTTCAAAAGTCTGGGATAAAAACTATCCTATGTTCTTTCTCAAGGTCAACTCTATCTCTGTACCGAATTTCATTAAAATCAGTTCAGTGGTTTAGGCGTGAAAGCGTAGCAGACAGACAGACAGACAGACAGAGTTACTTTCGCATTTATAATATTAGTAGGGATTGTATATTGACGTTAACGTTAACGTTTAAAATTTTAAATGGAAGTACTAAAAGCCTGAACGAGTTTAAGTTACATGACTCCCCATGGTCCAAAAGTTCTGCGAAGAACAACTAACTATCTTACAATTATGAAAAGTACGTGCGCCTTCCAGACAAAAAAGTTATAGCCTCGTTTGTTATTATTAATATTATTCAAGTGATTGTATAAGTATATTGCTATCTAACTTTGCTTCAAAGGATGTCATCCGTCTTGAGACACAATACTGGTCTCTCGTGGAAATTCCAAAACAAGAGAAAGCGGAAACTGTTCCAGCCTTTGTACTCCGAGCTTGTGCTATCATGGAGAAGACACAAAAATCTGGAGAAGGTGTGAAGACTTCCTCCAAGCTTGCTGAAGAAGCAGCCGATAGAAAGGAAAGGATAGAAAGACTTACTGGTAATAATAAAAAAACTATTATCATAAATATCAGCCTATACACCCAGGGTACGAAATTCTAACTTACAAGTCTTAATATGTATATTCAAAGCTAACATATTTTTGAAATAAATGTTGGAAGTTTTAAAAATGTTTCGTGAATAGAATTGTGATTTCCTTATTTTGCAAGTTCATGTTTAAATGGAGACGAGTATTTCAGAAGCCATACCTATCTGTTTGCAATTTCCGCAGTCATTGATGCGTTACCTTAACCTACGGTCACTGTGCACTGGTTCTATTTATAATTCGGTGTCTATTGCTAACAGTTCTGTTCAACAAAAACATTTCTAATATATTACATTTCATTACCACAATACAGACATTTTTAAGAACGATTTGCTGAACGTTTTGTGTGATTGTTTTTAAATCTATACTAATATTATAAAGCTGAAGAGTTTGTTTGTTTGTTTGTTTGTTTGTTTGAAAGCGCTAATCTCCGAAACTACTGGTTCGAATTGAATAATTCTTTTTGTGTTGGATAGTCCAGTTATCAAAGAAGCAATAGGAGCAAAGATATAGTGGTAAATGTGTAAAAAACGGGAGAAATTATTTCATCTTTGAAGCCTTCCGTTGCGAGCGCCGTGAAAACGGTTCAAGATACACAAAAAATATGTATTAAAGAATAACACCTCTTTTAATGATCTTAAAAACAGTCCGCGACAGTATATGTCTCTCTTTTAAGATTAACTCACAAAAACCGTTTTTATGGTACCTAATTTGGTCAAAATAATTTGTTTAAGTTGTATCAACATAATAATATTAATCTTTATTCAAATAAAAAAATAAATGTTGTTGGTTAAGAGTACTTCATTGTGAATTTAAAAAAACATAGGTTTTATCCTGAAAATTCTACGGGAACTCGACCATTCCGAAAACCCCGCAAGAACGGGAACTATGTGGGAAAAACCAAAAATCCGTCGGAAGTCAATATTCCACGCGGACGAAGCCGCGGCAAAAGCTAGTATGATATAAATACGTAGTATAGTAGTATACGATATAAATACGTATTTCTTTATCTAATATTGCCGTTCTAAAAAAATGTTGAGTCGTATGCCAATTAAAATTTTAAAATGGGTTTTACCAGCGCGTAGTTTGGCAAACTTACATCTCCATAAATAACATCTCACAGGAAAACATGATCCATATAGACGTATCTGTATTCGAAAATAAAAATCTATTGAGATAACATAATGATAAAATATTAACATATGTATTTACGATGTATCATAAAGTTAATTTGTTTTCAATTTTTTAAAAGTTATTTATTTATTTATACTAAACGATATTTTTCATTCAAATTTTGTTGAAATTTAAGAAACCTTACAGTAGCTTATAATCATTAAGTATTTCTAATATAGGCAGACTAAACCTGGAATATACTCTTAAAATATATTAATATACTTAATATGTAAATCTGAGAAATAATTAAGTTGACACTCAAAAGACATTTTTTTAATGATACTCAAACAAATTTTATACGTATGATGACGCATTGGATTGTACGCTTCTATTGTAAATTGGGTTCAATAGCCAATGTTCGTTGGACCGGCAAGACAAACTGAAACTAAATTTTATGGTACACAAAACTCTATTAGCAATATGCGTATTACATAAGCAATTTATGATGATTCATTTTATTTCCAGATATGACAACATCACAAATAGAAGCTGAGAATACACAGATGACAAATGACTTGTACCGCTTATTGAAGAAGTATACTGGCTTAAGAAATCTCATAAGGGAACTAAAGGTAAGGTCATCTAAAGAATAAGTACAAGTCTATTAGCATATATATTAAATACAAAAATATTTAGTTAATCTCTTTTAACTCAAGAAACTTTACTTTTCTAAACTGTCACTCAATTTTGAATGACAACACCTAAATGTATTTTTGCAATGCAGCTTGCATATGCAGATTAAATGAAGCTTGTGATTCTCATGTTAAAGTTGGCAGCCCTGAATTAATAATTCAAGAATGTTTTATGTTCGTGATATGAAGTATTCATCTGGAGACAATTACCATAACATTTTAAAACGTTCCATTATTTATTGATATCACTATTGATTATACTGTTATTTATTACTGTAAAGTAAACATCGCATTGAACACATATTCCTTCCATTGTCATCTAAATCCGATAGATGTGACTTTTACTATTTTTAAGTTATAACTCACTTCAATGTTTCAGTTTCATACTTTTTCCTTTATATTTCTACTAATTCTTATATAAAGAAACAAATAATTTAATTTAGTCATAAGAAAATCTTAATTACATTAATTCATTCTCACTCTTAAAGTTGATCTCTAGAAATACACGACAACAGCTATACTATATTAGTAAAATCTATTTTTTAGTTCTAAAAATACTCACTTTAAAAGTTGTTTTCGATAAATCGTTGTCAGAAGATCAAAATTATACTTTTATGGCGACCCTAACCATAACAGAACGAATAGCAACTCGTTTATTATACCTTGAACCACTATAGTTCGGAATAATAATACTTAAATTTATAAGTTCCTTAATTTAAATATCCTTTGTTATTCACGGTGCCAACTTCATTATCACAACGCAGTTAGCATAAAACCGAGAAAACCTGTTTCATACAGCAAATAGCTTTCAGTTCTTCGGAATAATTTTGTTATGAAATTACGAACAGTGACTCCTTATAACGTAACAGTCTTCTATTGATACTATTGTAATTTATCTTACGCGATGAAAATTATATTCTCATACTTTGAAAAAGAAATGTACTTGTAAATTGCACTTTTGTACTTACACTTAAATGTACTTTTAAATTAAACTTGCACTTTTCAGTCGGAGTACGTGAGTTCCAAGCTGTACCCAATGTTTCCGAGGTACACGATGTTGAAGGATATGATAAAGGATATCATGCATGATCCTGACTATATGGAAGTTTGCCATGAAGTGGATCCATAGCGGGGGGTGCGCAAATAGATGAGGAGCTCCTTCACTGACCGCCGGTCAAGAAGACGCTAGCACTTGCCTTAGTGTTGCCACTTTATATGTTATTCCAGATTCGGAAAGAGTATACAAAAATAACTTCAACTTTTGTTACTATCAAACAAACTTCATCTCTATTGCAATTCAGTTTAATATAATTTTACAGTACAGTCGATTGTTATGGCAAAACTAATCGACATATATGAGTTTAATGGGCTTTAATTAAAAGAGATTTCATGTTTCGTTAACGACTCATGATTTAAGAGCACAAAACAGTTTGAAGACACATCCAGTATTCCGGTTTATGGAACAGGGCTGTATTGAATATGTATGAGACACGAGTTTCTGCAACAGATTACACAACAGTTTAGGGAGTGTTTCCGAATATGAAGTGGAGAGATTTCAAACATCAAGTGGCGACGGTAGTGTGACGAGTACTCGTTTATTTTGCGCTGATTTTATATATGGACTTTGTGTTAGTTATGTAAAATAGTGTTTGCGTAAATACGTTTATAGTTAAGTACTCGTCCTTACTTACTTTACCTTAATGTTCTCCCTTCTGTCGCCTTTTCTAATAAATATTAAATCCTTCACAAGGAACAAAAATATTCATAGTAATAAGGCTATACTTATCTTGTCTAGACATTCAACTATTCATATCATATTTTATCATATCATGTATATTACAATAGTTTGCTAATGAACAAGTAAGTTTAATTTATAGTCTATATAAACACCAGTGTTATTTTAAAATTACATTCTGATTCTTAAATCTGTACCTTCAATATTGATATAATAGAATTCATTTTATTTTGTATTAAAATTATAAATATTAATAAGAAAGTATTAATGTTTAATGTCTGTATGGTATTATTGGTTATTTAAGTATTAAATATCATATTTATAGCTAGTAATAAGGACGTATGACATGTAGCTTATAGTTTGAAAACGCCATTATATGTGTTCAATGTCTATTTAGAATAATTCTATGGTATAATCCAGAGTAGATTTTTTCTGTATTCCCTAATTAAACAAGCTAATCAGATCGTATAAACAATTTTATGCTCAAACTCTTTATGACTGTCGTCTATTACAATTGTTATTATATAATCACATATCTTTAACTGTTGGTAAATTTTCTGTAGACTGCTTTTAAATATTGTTTGAAAATATATTTGTAGGTAGATATAGAAACTACATTAGAACTAAAGAATGCTTTACAGCTTAGAACTAATAGTGACGATTATTCATGTGTTTAGTAAAAACTTGCATCATTTACAAAGGATTTCCATTCAAATATTTACGAAAATATATGAATGAAATGACCATACTTAAACCCATCCAAGTAGTTGTTTTGTGATGCAAATTCATACTAAGCGCTATACGTTTATTTTACTTAGAAAAATATGTAAATGTATTTTATTTCTTATTTATAATCTACTAATATAATATTTAGATATAATTCATAATATATCCCATGTAATAATAAACAAAAATATGAAAGCAAATAGTGAGGTTATAATGTTAGGTAATATTCAAAATATATGATTTGTATGTTGTAATTTGAAAGTGTTGAAGCCTTTTAATAAACATGGCAATGTTTTGTTACAAACCGTATATGTGTAATATGTATTTTAAATACTGTAAGGTCTATACTGCCACTAGATAAGAAAGGCGATCCCAAATAGATAATTTAGAATAAGAAGCATAATACCCTATAATGTGAGTAACTTTGCCTTTATTAATTTTGCTTTAGTTTCACTATTTTGGAAGTAGAAATTTACATACTGATATTTCCTGATGATATTTCGTAGAAGCTTAACGTGTCCCAGATTTATAATCACTAATAGCGGATATAATTAAACAACTTTTAAATTTATTCACATCATTTTAGTTTATATTTTTTCTTAGTTAACATTTAAATTTGTTATGTTATATAATTATGACATATTTTAAAGATATTTTTTATAACAGATACATACTTATTTGAGTATTCATTATTTTTTGCAATACTGCAATTTTAATAGACGTTATACCCAATTTATCTTTTTATAAACACTTTTACGTAATTCTCAAAATAATAGTCTTTTTGTTTCCAAGAGACATAATTTGTACTCTCGATCAATTTAAACATATATATACGTATACAGGGTGACTGGTGAATTACTATCGATATTTGAGGACGTGATATTAGACGATCATATATGACAAAATAAAAATTAATATAACATAAATATTAATAAACTTCTAAGTAAAGTTAACCAAAAGTTATGTAATTAATTACGCATCGTATGAACACCCTACAGATTAGGTATACACACACACACACACACGCGCGCGGCGGCGTGTTGTTGTATCAGCACGCCGCCGCACGCGTCCACACTTGGAACACTTGGAACGTGTACACACTTTATTTATTTATACGGAAATTTGGTCAAAAATTAAGTACCTATTTTTTTTACATAATTCGAATGAGAATCATGTACCGAGTATGCTCCCTAAATATTGATAGTAATTCACCAGTCACCCTGTATATTGTTTCACTTACTGACGGCATATCCACACCGGCCTATTAAATTTGTCGAGGTCTTCTTTTTTATTTATAACGGTAATTTTTTATCTAATTAGCGGTCCCGAGGACATTCAATAATGTATTATTTATTATTGAAGCCATTAAGAATTATTATTATTTTATTCTTTATTGTATTCTTGGTATTTGCGGTTTTATTTAAACTCTCGAGATAACAGTCTCCCTTATAAAGCATTGAACATGGACTTTGAGGTCTCTTGTGGTTCTCAAAATGATTTTGAAGTAGTTTAATGGAAAAATATAGATTTATTTTAAATCATCCATACAATTTATTTGTGCCGAGGCAAAAGTGGTGAACAATTTGATTTTCTGAGAAAACAGTAACATTAACTGTGTGACACAAAATAAATTGTCATTAAATTTCTATTCTAAATAGCTTCTGGTTAAATTTCTATTACTAAAATTTTAGTTTTTAAATAGAGACTAGATTTATATGTTAGTTAATTCATGGCAGTTCAGCTCATTCGAACTATTTTAAAACTTCTTGAAGTTTATTTAACTCTCTTGCACTATTTGCCACAACTAATTGACATGTCTGTGTTAACTGCCTAGGAAATTCTATAGATAATAATACATTTTCTTACATAACACTAGCATGTATCTATCAAATTCTGCACCACATTACAAATGTACGAAACACAATAATATATAAGTACTTTCGCTTGTAGTAAACAGCATACAATCGAATTTAAGTACCAGTTTTTGACCAATTATTTCGAATACCAAATATGCGATCAGTTCGCAAAATTTATCCTCCAATCAGCATCACCATCAATTTACAAACCAATCCAACCACAATTTTATAACCTACTCAGCTTCTTAACTCCAAAAATATATCGATTAGTATGCAAAAATTTACCCGTAATATTGCAAACTAGCCTGTCAGTCTTCTATGTAAATTAGGTATGGACGAATTAAGTATTAACTATAGGCCTACAGATCAATCCACCCGTCCCGTTAAAGGAAAAATCAAAGGAAACGATTTTGTAAACCAACCAACCATACACGCTGCAAAAGTTTTATAGAATTGTACACCAATCAGTTTTGCAACTGTATTTAAAACATTGACATTCGATATATCTGTAAAGTCAACTGTTGGTAAAGTTAAGTAAAGTAATTAATTATATTATTTATGTAACCAATTCCCACTTGGTATTCAAGTTAACCAAATTACATGCAGCTCTATTAGTATCCAATTTCTTCAAAATACTATCCCAAAAACTGTTTAAATTCGCACTGAATTTGCAAACAATTTATTATTTACCATTAGATAATAATCACACTACCTTTTACAATACGCTCCATTTAGATAACAACTTTAAATCACATCTATAACTAGACACCGCTTATAATAACTTATATCGTATGTAAACTAATGAATTATACATAAATAATCATTACATATACTCGTAAATTGTATTCGTAATATTTATTGTAATGTACTTAACGTTGTGTACTTAGATCAAACTAAATCTTCATTGTCGCATATAATTGCATACATTCCTTAGTTGTGTTGCTCTTATAAATAATGGCATAAACATATCAATCATATCTCAGTTATGTACAACAATATCATCATAACTATAGTTACGTGCTTAAAATGTTTGTTGCTTAATATTATATGCTAGGCATGTGTTACTAACAATGTATATTGGATGTAGCTAATAGATATGTACTATAAACATTAATGGGAAAAAAGCTTTGTTATAAAAAATATATATTATTTTTTGTGCAATACAATTGATTATGTTATTTCTATCGTTTTCTAATTATCACTGCATATAAAAATGAACATCATATTGAAGGTATTTATTGGATAAAGTATGGAACATACATATATGACGTAAAAGTGGATTTCTTTTCCAAGTGTTTATGGCTCTGAAGCCGTTGTTAAGCTAGTTTCGTTATGAAGATAGCACAAAACTATTTTAAATGATCTTTTTGAACTAACTATAATAAATTTTGGCTTATAAATGTGACGGGTAAATTTTACAATCTCACAATCTCTTAAATTTCACCCAAGGTGGTAAAATTTATTTAAATGTTTTTTTGTTAGGTATGTTACCAAAAGGGTTGACTTTCAGCGATTTAAGAATCATATAAAAAAACGTAACCAAGTAATAGAAGCGTGTTCATAAAATATACTGCAAAAACCATGATATAATATTCTTACTTCAAAAGTTCAATATTAAAAATGTTCATCTTGTATATGTACGTGTTGTAACTCATTTACCATAAAGTTATTAATTAAAAGTAAATTTAAAAAAGCCTGAAAAAATAACTAGTTAAACATGGATCAAATAATGAATATCATCTTGATTTGGGATTAAATTCTAACAACACTTTTTTAAATAAGAGTCCTCTAGTAGCCATTACCAATGCTTACTAATTTTGATTCTATGACTACTACAGCGTCCTCTATAACAACCGAGGGAAATAAAATTGAATTATGCTGACGCCACTTCTGCTTAGATAGTTTAGCACTCATAGGATAGATGGAGCTACCAATTCTTTGGTGTTACCAATACAGAATATAATGTAGTAATTTACCAGACAAAGTAGACCAAAATTGTTACTTTATTGTATATGAACTATTGTTAAAATAAAAATGTTGAATTACACAAGTTATTTTTCAAAAATAATAACGGGATGTATTATAATTACCCATAAGCTTAAATCATACGATGTAATATTATTTTTATAATAGGAATAAAAAAAGTAAGTGAATATTAACTGAAAATACATACTTCACATACGAATTTATATACATTCCTCCAAGAGAAGATATTTTATTTAATAACCAGGAAAGAAGATACAGGTTTATGGCAACCTTAAGCGTACGTTCAATTCATTCATTTATCGCTTCACTCGGCCGGCAACTCCGATCTCTGTTAGACGTCATGTCAATAATGTAAAATGGCGCGACTTCGTAAATTTCAAAAGTTTTTAACAAACTTTAATAACTTTTTGTAACGAAAAATTAACATAGAGAAGCTAACATTTATCATTATAAACTGTATGCGATCTAAAAATAACATAGTGAAAGTCAGTCGGTTAGGATGTCGGTTGATTCAAAGTGTTACCTGACATTTTTTGTGTAGTGGTTTGAATGGAAGTCAGAATTGCGTTTAATTTGCGTTGAAGTAATGGATGAATAAGTTCATATCTTGTGGATAACGTCTTTTGAGATGCCTTTCGTGCAGCGTGTGGTGGAACCAAAGTTTCTCTCACGGACAAGTTTGCGGGACGAAGATGGTAAACTCAAGGTTACGGATGAAGAACTTCAGGCGGTAACCAACTGTACCCTGAGCAATGCTCTCCGTCAGCTCGCCTCACTGGTTCTTCTAGCCGAAGATATCTTCAGTGAGCTCACATCCCAACTTGAAGAAATAACTGAGAGATCGAAGGTTGCTAAGACTAAGATCGAAAGGGTACAGGAGGTCGTTGAAAAATATGATCCTAAGAAAGTAACAGTCCGTAAGTAAAAATTTTAATTTGATATGTTTTTTATAAATAATTCTAATAATGCCCAAATCATGTAGGACATAATTTTCAAAAAAATATTCCGATTACATTTGTTATAAATATCAACTATGAAGTGTATGCAAATTTGTAATAAACATTGTTCGTTATAAATCGCAATACAAACTAGCGCACCGCACTAAATTATCTGTGTACAATATAATTGTTAACAAATTGATGTCGAAATTACATTTGCAATAAGAACCTTATTCATGAATGGGTTAAATCAAAAACTATCAGACAAAATATTAATTATAAAAATTGCCCTATATAGTAAAGGTAGCCTATTTGGAAATCTCATTACATCGTACTCCTTAAGCACGCCGGCTTTACAAAAACTTCCCGGTAGATGCATTACTGAGCGCTATCTAAAAACCTGTTTGGGCGTTCGAGCGGGCAATGGGAAAAAACACCCAGATTCCGATGCGAACCATAAAAACTTCTGAGATAATTTTAAGACCATCCAATGATGCTCCGACCCACACGGCCTTTTGATCTTAGAGGGATTAAACATATACACCAATCATTGGCACTTAATAACAATCAATTTCTCCGGAGATTTACAGTTTGAAATCATATACGAAGGTCGAATGAGAGAACACGCGCGAGGATGAAAGTAAATAAAATTGTTGCATTGGAAGGACTGTAGACAGACACATTACTTAATCTAGTGAAATAAATTATTTTGAATATATTATCCTTTTAAATTAATAATTATGCATTTCGTATGCAAAGTATTGAATTTTTATGTCAAGATCCAAAGAAATCTAGTGCAGTTGGAAATTTTAAACTTTCATTTAAATTTTTTAGACACTAATAATTTATTTCAGATATAAAAATATATTAATCGATATTAAAGAGAATGATAAGCAATTTTAAAAACGGCTAATAATAATTAATAAAACGAATTTTATACTTATGTACACTTAATAATAACATTCGGCTTTATGTATAGAATTTTTCGCAATATTAGTTACTCAGCTCATTCGTCATACAGATGCCAATTAAAAATTAATAACTATATTGTAGCGAGATTAACCTAAGAGTTCGACGACCGATAAAATCTATATCAACCGTCTTTGTAACAAGGAAATGAGAGCGTAACGTGAAAATTAATTAAATTATTGCGAAGTCGAAATAATATGTTGGAAATATAAAAAAGTTGTCACTATAATTGACAAATCAATCAATGTTACCATGGCTCACATCGATTCAATAGAAAAGTTTGGCCATTGAATTCTTTAGAACACGTCACGAATGTTTAGAAGAATAAATACAATGAGACTTGCTTTGAAATTTCTATAGTTCCTTGTCTCAGAAGACACGATAACTCGACTGTTTGAACTACTTCTAGCAAAGTTTAACTAACAGTGAACAATGAGATGTGTAACATTCTATATCTAACAAATGTAATGTTCATATTAAGAAAATAATACGTATATTTAATATAATCGTGTCATATAAATCATTGCTGTCCTACTTACTTAAGTGTAAATTATGGTTTCCGTGGCCCGCATCTGAAATGCCACAGATAGGAGATAAAAATGATAATAAACATCAAAATCAACCGATCTACCGAGATTCAAAGAGAATTTTATTACTGAGATTTCTATGAGAGTAAAACTTTGAAATCAATCTAAGCAAATCCATATATAGAAAATATATTTTATTGCATTAAAATACAGCTCATTCTCTCATTTAATATTTAAGAAGTATGTAGAAATATAAATTATAATAGTATTATTTTTCTGAATACTAGAATTAAACGTAAAAGTTTAAAAATAAGCTCAAATATGTCATATTAACTGGATTCACAATTTTTCAAATGAGATAATAGTAAAAAAACGTAGATTAATTTTTTTTTTATTTTATATCTATGACTTATTAGAAATTATTATTATGTTGTATAATGACTACAAATTATATTTGTGAAATTCATAATTTTAAACATGTATATCATGGTTGAAATATTTAAATCACTTTTTAATATTATAAATCTACATTCTAAACCCAATGAGTATTTTATGTAATACACGTTAATATCCTGTTATACGTAAGTTTATTATTACATAACATCTTTTGAATAGACATTTGTATATATTCAAATTTTACAAAAACTATTTCAAGGCTGTGAAAGGATTTAAACAGGTCTCTAAGAGCCGGAATCAAAATTATATCGTGAGTCGTCTCGACCTGCCTATAATTAAACTGAGTAATGACAAAATATTTTTCTCATATCCGTTTCGTATTTAAGTTGTCTTTCATAATCACGCAGTTGTTGATACGGGCAATTTTATTTTAACGACCTATATGGGATGGATTTATTGAATAAATAACCAATAATTATGTATATTATTTAAGAATAGTTAATGTTTTTTCATGCAACAGTCTACACTTGTCGAATAATTTACAAATAAATGTATTTTATTCTGTTAAACTCGTTTTGCAAATAAAATTAATTTGTAAAATGCATTTCTGATTCGATCAAGTTCAAAATTGTATCGAAATAATGTATAATAAATAAAATCGTGCTGGATACAGTGAAAGAAATATTAAACCTCAGCCACCCATGTCGCAATCCGGTAGGTAGGTTTCGTTTTTAAAGACGTTCGCTGTTTCATTGCATATAATTCAATACATACAGCACATGCAATTAATATAATGTGTGAGGGAAATCGACTCAGCGATCACGGAATGCCACAGTCCTGGTGTTACCTTTCGTCCTCGATGTCTTTCCTCGTACCGGTGTAGTTTTGCAAGCTATTGAATGACAGCAGTCAGTCCGTATTAAGCAAGTCCTCGTCAGGTAATACGAGCCCCAGCTTAAATCTAACGGCTCAACTTAATGTGCTATGTCCGAGTTGCAATACTGATATCTTTAGAAGGGCTTGCGTAGTTGTTGGTCTTAGCCACATTATTGAATTGCATATCAAATTATTCTTAGCTAAATCAATTTCCAATGATCAGCCCTTTTGTCTTATTTGAATACGACCAAATCTGTGTTTGTTTTGGATAGTCTTATATGCGGTTTTATCTTTAAGTATATTCTCTGTTTTATTATCGTCCACTTGAATTACAAGCAGAGACAAAAAGCATACTTGAGATGCTCACCCCCTCATCCGTTGTGGGAATCGCTAAAAGGGAAGAGATGTTTTTGTCGGTCGATAAATTCTAAGAAATATCGCCCAGGTAGTCAGTACTACATTCAGCTTTGTAATGAATGCCGTAAGACATTTGCAATAGATCAACCTCTCACTACAATGAATGCGTAAACTTATGGTTATATACAATAATAACAAATAAAAACGATTTAAACTTCTAGAATTTTAGATGCCTACTAGCTTTTACAGTCTTGTTAAAAAATAAATAACATCCAAAAACCCGCCCTTTTACTATAGTAAAGTTACGTCTTAGACGAAAAATTCTAATCTAATCATCACCAAAAAAAATTTGTCCAGGAATCCTCGCAGGTATTCCCGCAACAATTTACGTTTTGTCTCAACCCTGACAATGATTTCGGAACCCTTATGAGATAGACATACGATTGGACATCGTAACTTTCTGTCATTGTGTAATCTTTTGCGTCATGATAAAAAGGAGAAATATTTAAATAGAGCCATTATCTATAATTATATCGCTATCGTGTCAGTCGGCCATGATTAGAAGTGTTTTATCTACCGAGGTGAACGAGACGTAATTGCTAATTGGACAATCTATTAAGGTTTCAAATACATTTCAGTTACTTTATATTTAAATTATCTTATTAACTATATCCGCGTGTTGGTTTTATAATACATGAGGTCATAAAAAATAACATATCCATTCAAATACATCATTCAATAAGGAGATACTGTATAAAATTCTCATATTATTTAATAATATATTTCATAATGATAAACAATAGGTAACATAAGGCCTACGGAACAATGGGTTGATTTCAATACAGATCTTTGTCTATGCAGAGAAGCTGTGACAATGACCTTTAAAAACCCACGCTAATTATATACTCGCGTCTCAAACGATTGCCACGGCCACAAACTGGATGGTTCATCTCAGCTCTCGGCATACCAAAGATAATCCTTGAAATACGTTAAATTTTAAACGTTCACTTTCTGGTAACAGTTAATGATTAACACTAAACAGACGTAAAAGCTGGTATTTTTGTAAGTGACGGTACGCTTTGAAATATAACTTTATATAAAAAGCCGTACTTAAAGTTTCCCAACATTTAAAAGAATCATTTGACAGGCAAGCAGTAATAGATGAATGTGTCAAATAATTATGTTTTACGAACCGAAAAGCATTAATAGCTGATCAATGAACTTAACTAAAAGGTGTTGTAATAGCGGAAGGAATCCCCTTAAATGTGCAACAAGGCCTGTGATGCAATAATTTGGTAATTAATCCGCAATAAGGTTAGCAAACCCTCCTGTTTACAACATATGTCACGAATTCTTTTCAATTAGCCTTTAAGAGCATCATTGGTTATGATGGTAAAAAGTACATCCCAAATTTACCAAACTTATTAACTAATAACCTTAATATTCCTTTTCATTGGTATCATTGTATTTTTTCTATTATTTGTAGTGTAATGACTTACAACCTTCTCAGGGCTAGATGAAGCCACATAAATAGGAGGGTGCGCGGCAGCTGATCGGAAGTCCTGCCTTTTGTTAAAATTATAACCGCACTTTACAAGAAAACGAGGAAGTAGGGTGATAACTCGATTGATACATTACCAAAAAATGTTTTTAAAAAATCCACGTGTTTCTATGAGTACTTTCAGTTGAATTACGAGATAAACGGAACTTTCCTCTCGACTGCCCAAGTTTGTCACGATTTTTGGGCCATTGTCCATTATGAAAATTCGTATTTTTTATTGGGACAAAAGCAGGAAAGTTCCATTGTAGTGTTTTTGGGCACAATGGGTCGCACAACGCTGCACGCGCAGCGTG